GAGACATTCTGAATTCCTAATACTTTATGTATAGATCCGCACTAGTAACCTAGTTACCAGCAAAATCTTCATCAACATCTGTTAAAGAGTAGCTGCTACCTGGGGTTGCCAACTTGAATTAAATATTGGGGGGGGGGTAAGTGAGCCCTGCCGCACATAGTTGATCACATGATACAGTACTGCACACACGCACCATTTGAATGGCACTGCCCATCAACTCTGGGGGGCATGGCCTCCTCAAATATTTTATGGGGGGGGGCTGAAAGGACCGCAAGCTCTAGGAGTTGGCTCCTATGGTTGCCACTAAGATAGATTAGTCATTGCCCACTTGGATTATTTTATTTCAACTTTTAATGAAGCAGAATAAAAATAGGGAAATATGCAGGAAACTCTAGAGAGACACAACAGAACGATAGAAATATTGGAAGTATAGGAATTGCTCCTCTCAAGCCCATTCCATTAGGATGCATTGGCTAAAATTAGTACAAAAACCCTGGCTTTTCAATGGCTCCAAGCTCCAACAAGGAACTTCACCTTACTCAACTCAATCAAGGAACCAACACACACTTTGCCTTAAGGACAGGTATACCCTTCCCCCTCCGTTTCTTGTCTTGCTGTTAGTGTGGGTTCTGTGGCAAAATGGTCACATACACTTTCTGTAGGCTTTTAAGAAGAGTTAGGGATTCTTTCACTCTTTAGATCAAGGGGTGTTTGTATATATATTCTGTAGGTTTTGCTGTCTGCTTAAATTGTAATTTTGCTGTCTGAAGCAACATACACAAACACAGAGAGAGAGAGAGAGAGAGAGAGAGAGAGAGAGAGAAAGGAAGGAAGGAACTTTCCTTTAATGTACTAATCTTTCTTTACTCCTTTCGTGTGAGAACTTATTGTGGGCATAAGGTTACATGTAAACACATATTTATAATGAACATACATCATAACTCTAGCAAAAGATCCTAAACCTCTTGGTAGTGTGAGTGAGGTGTGACTGCTGGACACGCATATGCATTCAGACACATACATAATAACACAGCCTTAACACAAAAACAACACACCCACCCAATGAAAACTCTCTGAAGTATAAAAGTTTTTCTTTCTCTCTCTCATCTTTCAGAAAACTTCAGTAAACTAATTAGGCAGATGGTAGTTCAAGGAGGGGACCACCACAGAAAAGCCTCTGCTCCCCATTGCCATCCATTTTACCAAGAGCAACAGCGCTCAGAGCAGAATCTACTCTCTGTAGTTCTCAGAGGCAAGAAGGGAAGGCATGGTTGGTAGGAATCCCAGTTAATAAGAAGTCTGGGCAACCCAGCACGGTTTGAAAGGAAAGAAGTAAATCTAACTATTTCCACAACAGGGACTATACTTGGCTTCCTCAAAAGCATATTGTTTCAATCCCATACACGCTCTGACACTGTAATACAACTGTCAACTTCTCCTTTCTGTCTAATATAAACAGAGAGAATTAGAAAGAACAAACAGCAGTTGAGTTAATCCTTTGCTTCATAAGTCTTCTGCTGACTTCATGATCTTCAGCTAGTTCTTGCCTATTTGTAAATGTTGTGAGGGCTAAACTGCATTGACACAGCAAGCTGGACCACAATTCCATAGAGAGCTTTGGGATTAGAGTGACTTCCACTCTACTCATTCCTGCTAATTTCTTTCCTGTAAATAATGAAATGTATAAGACCTGCGAATTTGCGCCAAGTCAGACACACAATACCCAGCCCATATTGTTTAAATAAGCCTCACAGAATGGAGGCTACACACAGGTCCTGAGAGGTTTTCCATTTCATTTCTCATGTAAGTTTTCATTTTCCACTGCCCAGCCACTTCATAAAGTACTGCAACTTTGCTTTAGTGAAAAGGTTAGCTTTGCTAGCAAAGAAAGTTTGTGCAGTGGTTAAGAGACTGAGCTATGAACCAGAAAAACCCAAATTCAAATCTTGCCCCAGCCAAGAAATCACTAACTCTGCACAACACTGGCTAAATTTCCAGAGATGTAAAAATTACTGAGGATATTATATGTTTGAATTCTATAAATATCAAAAGTTTACACATCATAGCATCCAAGATACAGCTATTGGTTACTGCCCTGTAATCATAAGCAGATATGTCAAAATGTGTCCAGACAAAACAAAGTCTGACATTTGTGCTTGACATTGAAAACTACAATTGTGTGGCATGGATAAGTGCAGCCGCACCTACTGGACCCACCTCCATTGCTGTGCCCCCTTCATCAAGGGCATGCATGCAGAGGGGAGCCTGCTGGGTGCACACAGGAATCTCTGTAATGTAGAACTACATGAACCTCACACCCAAACAGAGCTAGACTAACAAGCCTATTGCCTATACTGAGCTTCTGGTTATAGGATGCGAACAGAAACAACATAAAGATTATTTAGATTGGTTAACAGGCAGGTGCTGGTTGACAGAAATGGATTAATCAGTGGACATTCCAGCAGAAAGGTACATGTTAAACATGGAGCTTACATACACTCTGCTATGTCTCAGAACTGAAATGCTTTTCAGGAAAAAGAGAACCTAAAGTCTTTTGTGGTGTTCTGTATATTTCACATTTCAAGGCCCTCTGTTTACACATTGCTCCTCATACTGTCCTTCCCAGGGGTTAGGGGTTCATCCACTAAAGGAGATCTGGACTCGCATGGTGAGACGAACCTATTGTTTTATTTCTTTAGATGACAATGCAGACTATGTTGTTGTGGTTAGGGTGAGTTGAAAGAGGGATTGACATAAATACTGGCAGGATGAGATTGACATCTTGCATATCCCATTGCCCAGTAGACATGTATAATATCCAAGGGATTTTGGAAAAATGCACAGGGCAGTATGGTTAGTGTGCCCATAGGCTGGTCAACGTACTCTTGTGGACTGCTCAAAGAACATACAAAATGCATTAGAAGATAATGTATCACACTAAGTATTGCTGAACTGAAGTATTCGGTCTAGCAATTTTCAGACATTTCAGTAAGGTGTGAATTAATTGTCCTCTAAAGGTTGGGTTAAACTTTAAGGGGCAAAAAATATTCTTACACTTGGCGGGGCAGCTGTTTTTTCACATTTTCTATAAACAAGCAGCGTACCAACTGTGCATTTTGAGTCTAGGCATGTGGATCCTTACACACTCATTTTGATCAACACACAATGGATGAAGCCTGTAAGCATTCTCCTCCACACATTCATTTCTACTCTGTTTAACTATCTCCACAGATTTACAATCTTCAAGGAACCATACATCATCTACATAAAAAATGAAATTCCCTAGCAACACTTTTTTTTCCTTAAAAAATAAAGCTGCTTTACTTTTCCAAACCACTGTCCATTATTCATGTGTTAAGTGGGGGACAGATCTGGAAGTAAAATGAAACACAAAAACACCTTGAAAGACAATTAGTTTTAACTAATTCACATCTGAAGACAGAGAACAAACTTTTGTTACAACAGCTTTCAAAAAATAAATTTCTTCAAAACCTTGTCAGAGACCAGATGTATCCTAGTTACCATTACATAATGCACAATGTTTCACTTGTATAAAATAGAAGATAAGGGCCCAGGGGAAAATACAGTATACACTCCTTTAAAGTTGTTGCTAATGCCTTCAGATTGGGCGCCTGAGTGAAATAAGTGTTTTCAAAATGTAGAAATGGGTCGAAAGGCAGGGTTGGGCTGTCACTGCTGGACTCAACAGAGCCTTGTTTCAAACTTTTTCCAGAACTGATGAAAATTGCAGCCATGTTAATAGAATTCCATTTACCAGAAGTAATGTTCTGAATGCTCTTCCCACACAGGTCCACTAGTTTGCATGGGGACACTGGCAAGGTGATTCCCACTCAGTCCAGTAAACCCATGCCAGGAGAGCATTAAAACACAATAAATGCATGAACTGGAGCCCAATCATGTGGTTAGCATCTCTTTCACACAGAGGATCATTTGAATCAGGTCTTCATTTGTTATGCATCCAAGGCTGGATCTGGACATATCAATGAAGCGTTTCAGTTAAACGCGTTGCAAACTTTGAATGAGAAATTGGGTAAGCAAAAACGGAACCCCACAGCGCCATCTGGTGTCACAGTGTTAGAATGCATAAACAATACATATAAAGTGTTTTTTCTTTTCCAGTGTAGCTGAGTCCTATGTCAAGTGTGGAGAACCTTCGGTCCTCCAGATGTTGTTGAACTACAACACCTGTCACCCCTGGCCATTGGCTGATGGAAGTTGTAGTTCAGCAACATCTGGAGGGTCAAAGGTTTCCCCACTCCTGATCTAAGTGGTATGTAACATCAAAAAAGGAGTGAGAGGAGTATGGAATGTTTGCATTTCAGAACTGCCTTTCTGGTTCCGACCAGTCCAGACACGTATTCTGTTTTCCAACAGGGAGCACTTACAAGTCTGCTTCTGAGATAACTGAGGGAATTACCAAGGAAAACATGGACTTCCTTTTGTTTGTCTCTAGCCCCTGGTATTCAGAACTATACAATTCTATACTGTGGAAAGTGGAAATTATCTGACCAAGAGTTCATTTACTTTGTGCAAATCCTATATAAACCAGGGCATGAACTTTAAATTAAGAGGGTATTCTTAGCTAATTTATGAGGTTTTAATGGGATAGCAAGTGATAAGTTTTGTTCAACATATTATCAGTTTAAACCTGTTTTTCCTCCAGTGAACTCAAGGCAGAATATCAGCAGTAGAGTGATAAAGCAGCTGTTAAATATGTATATGTATATGAATATGTATATGTATATACATGTCAGATAGCATGCTGCCCTTTTTATTAGGATCAGCTGACAGTGACAGAATAAGAAAATAAGAATAAGAATAAGAAAAAAATGGTTTAGTGGTTATGGCACTGGGCTTTGGCTGAAGACCTAGGTTCATTTTCCTATCAGCTATGAAGTTCATCTTGAGACAGTCACTGCCTGAGCCTAACATACCTAACAATGGGACCATGTGCCAAACCTGTCTTTCAATCACTATCACCACCACATGCCTACAACACTGGCAAATTCTGCTGCAGCAGATGATGTTGTCCTTCCCCCACATTCCTCCTCCCTGATGCCACTGAAGAAGACAACGGTTTTATCCATTTTATTCTCTGAGGTATGCTAGGTCAAGAGGTGGGCTAAAATCATTCCATGCTGTTGGTGGAAAATCATATATTTGCGTTCTCCTATGTGTAATATCTCTCTAGAAGAAGAAATAAAAACTAGCATAGAGTTGGGTTTCATTGTAAGATGAAAGTCCTGTTTTAAATTGGTATTTTCCACACAGTCTGGTACATAGTCTATCACTTCATCCTGAGGCATGTGTAGAGTAGATCACAGGGACTGACCCAAGTCATCCCATGAATTTCATGGTTCAGTAGGGATTTGGACCCATATTGCCAACAAAGGTCCGTATAGTTAAAGCTATGGTTTTCCCAGTAGTGATGTATGGAAGTGAAAGCTGGACCATAAAGAAGGCTGATCGCTGAAGAATTGATGCATTTGAATTATGGTGCTGGAGGAGACTCTTGAGAGTCCCATGGACTGCAAGAAGATCAAACCTATCCATTTTGAAGGAAATCAGCCCTGAGTGCTCACTGGAAGGACAGATCCTGAAGCTGAGGCTCCAATACTTTGGCCACCTCATGAGAAGAGAAGACCCTGGAAAAGACCCTGATGTTGGGAAAGATGGAGGGCACAAGGAGAAGGGGACGACAGAGGATGAGATGGTTGGATAGTGTTCTCGAAGCTACCAGCATGAGTTTGACCAAACTGCAGGAGGCAGTGGAAGACAGAAGTGCCTGGCGTGCTCTGGTCCATGGGGTCACGAAGAGTCAGACACAACTAAATGACTAAACAACAACAACAACATTGCAACAGTCCAATATCCCACTACTCCACACTGGCTCTATATGTGTATATGCTATATTCTGTTTTCTACCCCGTCCACAAACTCCTGTTTTAGAATTAAAGGGAGAAAGAGGATTTTCTGGGAGGGGGGGGGATGTTTCATAGGGTTGTTTTTTTAATATAATCCCAGGTAATTCTAATCCGTCCTTCTGTTAAATGGATTTATGCAAATAACATGCCAGCCGCTTCAAATGAATGAGCCTAATGCTAGTTCCCTGCGTTATCTCAATCAACTGATCCTCAGCACCAAAGTTTGAAAATGATCCCCATTTAAAAGCCTACAACTAAAATGGTATTCCCACCCCCCACCCCTGCTAATTTGTGGCAGTCTTTTTGATGGTGGGGAAGGTTGACAGAGAAATGTGTTCAAACAAATAACATAATACCACAACTTGCCCTCCAAGCACGCTGCAGCTTTAATCTCTGATGGCGAGAGAAGAGTAAACAGCGCAGGCAGGGGGTTCTCCTTAACCCACACATGGCTAATAAGTTTAAGATAGCAGGCCAGTGCATTTAAATAAAAACCCAGAGTCAGTTTAATAGTATTTGTTATAAAGCTATATCTAATTATATTAGTCAATCTTTATTAGAAGGCTCATAAGTGCAGAGAACTCTATTATAATCCGTCTTTCTAATGATCTCTTCACTATCATAGTCATAAAAGTCTGGGATAAATTAATCATCTGTTTGCAATCATGAGTAAACATCGAGTCAATTAACAATTGATAAATAAACAGCAGACTCCTGAGGCTACTGCTATTAGAAATGCAGGCACTGCTCATCTCCCACACAGCAGCACAGTTCCGCCATTTAATTTCAGTGTGTGTTTCAGAGCTAGGCCAAAACTATTTATCTAACTCTTGGTCACATGGACTGGGGGAGAGTTTAAACAGAGGGATAGATATAGATAGATAGATATAGATATAGATATAGATATAGATATAGATATAGATATAGATATAGATATAGATGATATAGATACACACACACACACACACACACACACTGCTTGAGCTTTTGCTCACATCCAAGCTACACAGTCATACGTAACTTTCCCTTTTTAATCAAACAAACAAAAATCAGTTTTGGAAGGGCAGGAGATGCTTAAACAAAACAACTATCCTCTACTGGGTGAGCATACAGGTCTGATCTTTTCTCTTTGAAGGAGAAGAGCAGTTTAGGGGTGATGGTTTTGAAAGGAAAAACCTTCCTGAGGAGAAAGGTTAAAGCACTACTTTTCTACCTGTTGATCCATCACCCTTTGTTGCAAATTTCTATGACTGTTTTTTGTTCTGTAAATTCCCCCGGAAACTGCATGGAAGAAATATTTTGGACCTTCCTTTGCCATCAGGGACCTTCTCCAAGCTTGGATATTGCAATATACAGCCCCAGCACTTATTTCAGCCATACTTGGTACCCAGGGCTTGAACAAAACACACACAAATACTTTCAATAGTTAATCAGTATGTTTCAATTGCCATCTAAGTTCCACAATCATGCTGCCAAGGAAGATTATCTCTTACAGTAAATTCAAATTTTGATATTGAAATGGGGGGTGGGGAGTGGGGATAGGTAAGTTCAGCTCAACAATCCTAAAGGATGCTGTTATTATACCCAGGCAATAGCTAACTGACAGCTCACTTTCACACAACGTTTTATTTATTTGTTTGTTTACATTTGTTTACACTGGGCTGCCCTTGAAGCTGTCCCAGAAACTCCAGCGGGTGCAGAATGCTGCAGCAAGGCTCCTCACAGGGTCTCTGCCTTGGGAGCATATTCACCCAGTGCTTTTCAAGCTGCACTGGCTCCCGGTGGAGTACAGGGTCAGATTTAAGGTGCTGCTTTTGACCTTTAAAGCCCTTCGTGGCCTAGGACCCTCGTACCTACGGGACCGCCTCTCCCGGTATGCCCCACGGAGGACCTTAAGATCCATAACTAGCAACACCCTAGTGGTCCCGGGCCCTAAGGAAGTTAGATTAGCTTCAACCAGAGCCAGGGCCTTCTCAACACTGGCTCCGGCCTGGTGGAACGCTCTGTCTCATGAGACCAGGGCCCTGCAGGATCTGATTTCTTTCCGCAGGGCCTGTAAGACAGAGTTGTTCCGCCTGGCCTTTGTCTTGGAGCCAATTTGATTCCCTCCCTCTCTTTTTTCTTTTCCTTCTCCTCCAGCGAGGAGGCTACATTTTAATACTTTAATGTTTCAATATTTTAATGTTGTATTTTAATTTTGTTTTTAAGTTGTAATCATTCAACTTGTTTTTATTATTGCTTGTAAGCCACTCGGAGCCCGGCCTTAGCTGGGGAGGGCGGGGTATAAATAAAAATTATTATTATTATTATTATTATTATTTATATCCCAGCTTTTCTCCAAGAGTTCTATGTGAGATATATGGTTTCCACCCACTCCCAACCATATTACCATCACAACAACCCTGTGGGGTAGGTTAAGTTGAGGGTTAGTGGCTTGCCCAATATCAGTGAGCTTCATGGCCAAGTGGGGATTTGAACCTTGGATTCCTGGTGAAGCAACAGCTATGAATGTGAATATTTGTCAGCAGAGCTTCACTGGCAAGTTTATTTTATTATCCAAATCCCTTTTTCAGAAAGTCCAGCGTTTCCAGAAAACGCAAAGCAATGCTAGATGAAAGGGTGCAACCAAAAGATGAGGGGGATGCTCCTGAAATATTTGGTAGTAGAAAAGGAGGTGCGAAAAATGCAAGGCTACATAAAAATCTTATAATCCATGAGCAGCCTTGATTGCAATTTTTCCACCAAAAGCAATTAATTTATAGCTTCAAACACAGGAGATAATCCTGTTAATCAAGAAAAAGGGAGCCATTTATTGCAACTGTTCTTTTAGAGCATTTAATAACATTGCATCAGCTTGCACACAGCAAAATAAAAATTGAGGATGGGAGGAGGAAGGTTAACAGGAGACATGCCAGAATTAGAAAATGAGGTTCAAGGTAATATTTCAACTGTGAATTTTTAAACTTTAATGAAGTTGGCACACACTCCTGGTGTTAGATAACAAATCCTGGTGTCAGTACTATAGAAATAATCCACTTGCAACCCTGAGCAATTTTATATTTCTGACATTCTAACACCTTATAAACTGTATTGATAGCCCACATATACCATAATACTTAGGAGCTCACCCATAGGAAATATTTTTATAAGGCAGAACTGTGTAAAAGCACATAAAAGCAACATGAATTCTGAATAGTAACTCAAAACTCCATATTGATCGAGGATGCTTCCATTGTTTAGCCAAAGGCTAAACCGACCCTAGCTGCAACCTAACATGCTAAATACCAGTTAACTATTCCATCAAAGTTCCTACAGGTTCCAGTTGTGATCGCGTCGCTATCCTGCAGACTTGGAAATCATGGCCATGTTGATACATAAAGATAAAGGGACCATTAGGTCCAGTCGTGGCCGACTCTGGGGTTGCGGCGCTCATTTCGCTTTATTGGCCGAGGGAGCCTGCGTACAGCTTCCGGGTCATGTGGCCAGCATGACTAAGCCGCTTCTGGCGAACCAGAGCAGCGCACGGAAACGCCGTTTACCTTCGCGCCAGAGTGGTACCTATTTATCTACTTGCACTTTGACGTGCTTTCGAACTGCTAGGTTGGCAGGAGCAGGGACCGAGCAACGGGAGCTCACCCCGTTGGGGGGGATTCGAACCACCAACCTTCTGATCGGCAAGTCCTAGGCTCTGTGGTTTAACCCACAGCGCCACCCGTGTCCCATGTTGATACACAATGGACAGCTTTTCTTGTCCACATAGTCAAGGCCTGAAAGGTAGTTACTTCAGTGATAGTGTCCCAAGGTGATAACTTCTGCCCAAGCAAGGACTTCCAGGGTGCTTGTGCCAGTCACTTGTTGCCTGCTTTAGGCCATTCATACATGACTGGGTTTCTGTTTGACAGTCTGGTACCAGAAGCAATCAGGCCTCAATTTCCGACACACTAGGTCCACCAGCAAAGCTGATGATAGAAGGGAATGTAACATTAGAGCATCCTTAATTAATATACACAGTAAAAAATAAAATAACTGCATAACAATTTAATACTCTGCGAAAAAGGTGCCACCAGTGAAAAAGCCTGCCTCTGCATTACCATGCCACATTTATCCTCGTTTTGACTATAAAAGAGCATGCAAGATAGCTAACAGCATTCAAGAATTACAAGCAAACTATCATAGTAATCAAAAATTAAAACAATTCTGAAATAACAATAAGAGATAACATGGCAGGTTCATCAATCAAAGCCATCAGAGTCAGCATAAAAACTCAGGTTAATAATAATAATAATAATAAAGCCTGCCTTAAAGAAAAAGTATTCAATGAAATAATGGGAGGGAGTGAAATAAGCCCATGGGGGAGAATTCCACTCCTGGGGTGCAGCCATAGATAAGGCCAACTTGTGTGACCTGATCAACCTAGTATCAGGCCAATGGAAGGAACAAGAAGTACCAACGAAAGAAGAGTGGCAGATGAAGGTGATGGACTTTGCGGGACTGGTGAAGCTGACTGGGAAAATCCGAAACCAGCATGATCAAGCATTCCAAAAAGACTGGAGTAAATCTATACAATATTTGAAGGACCATTGTAAGCAACTAACAACACAGGCAGGGTTTTAAGAAGACTTGCAACATTAACTGTATTTACCTTTTTTATATTTATTTAAAATTAAGACACTTCAGATGAGTGAATTGTAAATTGGAAAATGTATAAGTGCTATGATATAGAGGTTAACTTTGAAAATCAAGAGGCGGGAGGGAGGGGAGTCAATATGCTCTTAAGAGCTAAAGAAGTAAAGTGAATAATGATGATGTGATTAAATATTATAAAATGGAAAATCAGTAATAATAATAATAATAATAATAATAATAATAATAAACCTAGTAGTATCAGGCCATAGCAGATCACAGAGAAGGGCTCACCTTAGATAGGATGTATCACTGTGGATAGGATGGTAGCAATTTCACTTATCATCTTCCTATTTCCATCAAGGATGGATCCAAAGTAGTTAGATAAAAATAAAAGCTCAACCTGTCAGCTCGGATTAAACCCCAGCACCCAAGAATCTAGAGGGGGAAATCTTGCACCCAGGGATCTGTTCTCCCACTAACCTGTAACAATATTTTCAGGGGCTACTTTCAGTTTCCAGGCCTCCAGCTGATTACTCCAAAATGTTTGGACATTTCTTCTCTCTTTTATTACTGGCAGAACTGTTCTTCTCGAGAAGAACAGAAAACCCCAAAGAACTCAGAAAACTTGCCCAAAACACATTTCCCAAACTTGGAGTGAATTATCCATCAGTTCAATCAGTTTCTTTTCAGCAACCGTTAGACACATTCCTGAGTATGAACCACCTTCTCCTATATTGAGCTGTAACTTATGACAGCAGCTTTAATTAAGATCTACTACATAACATGGAAGTAGAGCACATGTATTTGACCATGCTAAGTGTAATTGGTTGACTGCTTTCTTTGTCATTTGATTGAGGACCTTGATCATATTCATTTTAATAAAATTAGGACAAGTATCATTTCAGAAAGAGAAGTAATTATCTCTAAACTGTAATCTGCCTTCCTTCGAAACGTATGACATGAAGAGTTCTCCTTAATGGCAAACTTATAGTCGAAAGACTTAATTAAGCATCTTTTCTAATCAAATTAACTTTCATTTCCTAAGTAGAGGTTTCTAACCTCAAAGTGGCTTTAAACCATTGTTTCTTTCAGCCATTACCTTTGAAGAGAAAGATAATATCCCCTTGAAGTGATCCTCTTAGAATGAGCTATTATGCACTGACTACAAATACGGATATAAAGCTGAACTAACACACACAAACACATACTGCTTCACCAGCTATTTCAAGCTAAGTTTGAAAGCTTTGGAATTAGCTCTGATGCCAGCAGGAAGTCACAAACAATATGTTTTGTCCTTTTAAAATTAAAAACAAGCTATTATGCAAAAGCATTTCTACACCAGGAATCTGCAAATGAAAAGGTGTAAAATGGCAGGTTATCATGCACCCTTCTGCTGTTTATAACTGGCAGGGGCAGTTTAACGTTAAAGAACAAACTGCAACACTAAAATTTAAATACACAACAAAAGACTAGTATTTCAAGCATTTGCTTTGGTATACACTTTGAAAGTTGATGGGTAAAGGTAAAGGTAAAGGGATCCCTGACCATTAGGTCCAGTCGTGACTGACTCTGGGGTTGCAGCGCTCATCTCGCTTTACTGGCCGAGGGAGCTGGCGTACAGCCTCTGGGTCATGTGGCCAGCATGACTAAGCCGCTTCTGGCGAACCAGAGCAGCGCACGGAAACCCCGTTTTACCTTCCCGCCAGAGAGTGGTACCTATTTATCTTCTTGCACTTTGATGTGCTTTTGAACTGCTAGGTTGGCAGGAGCAGGGACCGAGCAACAGGAGCTCACCCCGTCGCGGGGATTTGAACCGCCGACCTTCTGATCGGCAAGTCCTAGGCTCTGCGGTTTAACCCACAGAGCCACCTGCGTCCCTCATATTTTACTAAATCTGCCTACCTGACAAGTAGTTCAACCACAGGTTGCCTTGTTACTTCATCAACTTATCTGAATGACTTTATGGTTCAAAAACAATGCAAAACCCAGGTCCCAGAACTCTGTACCCACTATTTGTAGTTTCCAGAAACAATAGGCTTTTGCAGTTTGCCTTGGATTTTGTATTAGTTTAAGATTCATCTTAATGGGGTTTTTTGTGCTGCTTTAAAAGCTATTTTTAGCTGTTTGCCTTGATACACACATGTAAAAGGTGAGTCATTAATTAATTAATTGTAATTGTTTTTGAATTGCAATAATAATAGATGGTTTTTAAAAATGTGGTGCTGGTATTCATATCTTGAGATAAAGTGCTGTAGATGCCAGTAAAAAAAACAAGTCAGTAATCTGTTTCAAGGTGTACTATCACAAAAAAGCATTGATAATAACAACTGCTGCTCCTGCTATTCAGGAAGCTGAAATGAAAGGCACAACAAGCAGACTGAAAATCAAGTTTGGGACTCATTTTATCCAATAACTTAAGCAAATGGGGTGGACTCAACTCAGCGTACTTGCTCCAATACGCTGTTCACTCTTTCCAGATCAGGTATTCAGTGGTGTTTGCCCAGACAGGCCAACAGCCAAGGGAAGGAGAGGAGAAGCCATGCAGTCATAAGGAATGAAGGTCTGTGACCCTGACTGTAGGGAGCCCCTTTGAGGTTTGGTTTTGTTTAGCAGAGACTACTCTGCAAGTCATTTTGCCTATATAAGCACTTTCACGGGCTGAAAATGAAGGTTCGGAGCTGGATGAGTTTGGGAAGCCGAATTCCAAGATTGATGGTAGTCATCATGCCATGGAATTCCAACCACATTTGCAAAATTTATTAAAAGCCCCATTCTGTTTAGAATTTCTAGCCATTTCTCCAGAAAACATATACACACGTATAGCGTGTATATAAGTGCCTGTGTCTATGCGTATAAAGGCGACTCTCAACTTACATTCTGGAAATCTCACATAAAGCCAAAAAATTTCCCTGGACACCTGCCTCCCCCTTTTTTTGCCAAATGGATAAAGCTGAATCCATGCAGGTTAAATGTGTACAAGTTACACTTTACAAGTGTGTGTGTGTGTGTGTGTGTAGCCAAAACATTTCAAGAATGTTCCATCTTGAATCCTACTATGAGCATGCCCCAGAAGCAATTTGTCTTGTTGGTACCTTCAACATGAATATTATGTGCATGTAAGCAATATGGCTACTCAAGTGCACATAGGCCCATTAATGAATGGATGAGGTTTGATTGGCTGGTTTACTGTGATAATATAAATCTACTTTTGCAAAAGCTTCTATGGTAGAGCACAGTGGATAAACTTAACAACAGCCTTTTGCTTAGACTGCATCCAAAGTATGCAATAATAGCCTAACTCAGTGGTAGAACACATTCTATGCATGCAGAAGAGCCCAGACTCAACCCAGAGTATTTCCATTTAAAAGCCTATTTGATTTTTGAGAAGACATCTGCCTAGGACCTTGGAGAGGCAGGGCCAATCGGGCTAGGCCCAATCCAATGATCCAACTCAATATGCTGGATTGGTTGCAGCTTCCATAACATCCTGCCCCTCCCCATGACCCCATGGAGATCCCTTATGGGACCTCAGAGGGCACTTATGCATAGGCCAGCCCATCTCAGAAGAAGTAGTTTATATAACTGGATATCCTAACCTGGCCTTTTTTTTACAGACTCCTCTCTGAGCAGACAGGCTGTGGGTTCCGCTGTAAGCAGAGAAGCTGTTTCCAGATCAGGACACCAAGCTGTAATTGTGGCCATTTTAACTTAATCCCTGCAGCAATTTCACTCCTCTCTCTTTCTTCATGCTGCGGGCACAGAACAGCATCTTGTGTAATGATCAAAATGCATGCTACTGAAAATGTGGCAGAGAAATGTGTCACCACGTAAATATATTATTTAATGCCCAAGGTTATTGTTATTAGCGCTATGGTTTTGTTCCAATGTTTTGCATTTTGCTTTCTCTAAAGGAAATTGCTTGGTTATTTTTCATCATTAGAGTTTTGCAGGTACAACATGACTTACTCCTAGTAACGATCCATGATCGTTAGATTTAAGAGCAAAACAGCAGGGAAATAGTCAGAGGAACACACCATTAAGTCCTTTCTTTATCATCCTTCTCTAGCCTCCCTTCACTAAGCATGCTGATTCCCCCCCTATTTTTGTTAAATTGTGATAGACATCCAAACATCGAATGTGCAGGTTTTGTTCATGGTTGATCCAGGCTGTTTGCCCAGCACCATGACAATCACCTGTGTTTGAAGTGGAGTCTGCTATTGTAATATTTAGTGAATAGGATTTCATTGGGAACTGATCTGTGTGCAGTGAGGAAAAAGGTCCTTTTACACACTACTTGTAATGGAGTGGAAAATTACATTTCCCATTGCAAGAACATCCCCATTAGCGGGAAAGCATATTCTTTAGCAGAGAGCTGGAATGCACCTCAGGCAGTGACGGGGTGACAGCCCAAGTAATGGAGGCTTGGAAAGACCTGGAAGATACTGAAATGAAAAAATGTTTTTCTTTATACATTGTGGTTGCTTCATAAACGTTCTTCCCTGATACATCAGAAGCAATTGGATTTGGAACACTGAGGTAAAACACAAATTTAAACAAGCATGCTTGTCATTTCTGAGAAGGAAATATACCCTTGTAGAATAGAAAATGTTATAATATTCTCCTTAAGTTACTGTCCTAACCACTCAGTTTATGGTAGAGATGCTCCATTGTTTTAGTCCGCTGCTATAACTCTGCTACAAGGGAGATTTCATAAAGTTTGATGGCTTAGGGCCGGTTTATGCATTATGAAAGCCAAGCGGAAGCCGCTTGAAACAGTCTGTACTGGGCCATTGATCCACAATGCAAAGCCATAATGAGAACAATGGCTTCCCTCATGGATTGCTGTGAACAAGTGGAAAGTCTCCATGGCACATTGACAGACATTCCTGACAGCAGCTGATGGTAGCTCACATCCTATGTTAATGGCTGCCACTAGTGATGCTCCTTAAGTTTATCCATCTCGCAACATGTTAAAAGTATTGCAAAATCATGACCTTTGCCTTTGAAACTAGTCTTCTGCCCATAATTCATACCAAGAGTGTCATGAGCTTACGCACCTCTCTTATGTTCATGTGCAAGCTGAGCTCCTCAGACTAGATGCGAAAAAGGTAGCTCCTGTACCAGTGTTTGGCAATTGTTTGTTCCTTGATGACAGTGAAATGAACTTTTTAAAATGGACATACAAATTTCTCCCACACCCCCCAAAGGCAGTGCAGGCATTGTGTAAATGGGATCTCTATAAAAGCAAGTCACAAGTCACAAAAGATAAGAAGAGCCCTGCTGGATCAGACCAAAAGCCTATCTAATAGTGACCAACTCAGTGTTCATTGTTAACAAGCATCCACACCATCAGTTCTGTATTTTTTACTTTATTTTTGCAGGACCTTAAATTTGCAGCAGGTCATGGTTTTCTTAGAATGCATTGAGCTTATGCAAATTTCAAATACTCTACTCCTGAAATGTGCACAAATTCACAAGGTAAAATAAGGGTGGTCAGTTACATATCAAAAAAGAGGACACATCTACATATGCTACATTTTGTGTATATTTAGAAATAATAACAATAATTTAAATAGAAATCTCATACATCTCAACCAGTGCTATTTTTCTAGAAAAAGAGGTGCCAGAACTCATCATGAACATCTCCCTTGTTCTCTTAGAATGGCAATGGCACACACCCAAGAGGTGCCGGAACTGAGTTCTGGCAAGTTCCAGCTGAAAAAAAAGCCCTCATCTTACCATAGGGAAGAAGGCTGAGATCAGATCACTTGTGCGCCTGATCTTTTGGTGGCATCTTTAGAAGGGCAACTTCAAAGCCCCTGCTCTCCCTTCCTCTAATTCTTTATCTTTAATCCAGACCTCAACCAGGCAATTTTTCAAAGAGAGAACTTTTTCCAGAGACCGTCCTCTGCTAGATCCTTCAAACAGAGGACTCTTCACTGTAAAGGATAAACATGACCACCCTAACTCAAACTTCAAAACAAGCACCCCATAGTCTGCAATACCACAAGACCCATCCATCACATATCTTTCAACTAGACTATTGCCCTAGTTGGATGTGCAAACGTTATAAAGTTCCTCTGATGTGTACCAAGGCTCACTATCATGAATACTTCACCTGGCAAATTTAGTCTTCTTATGATTTATTACAGCACATGCAAGCATTTTTTGCTTTTTTGTTTTCTGTAACTGCATCACTTTGAAGTAATAACTGTAGTCACTACCTGTAGGCAGATATGACTTGCCACTTTACTTGAACAGATCTGTTGCTAATATATGGCAAGCAGCTCCTGCTGGGTGGACTCCTGATTGCCATGGACTCTCTGCAATTCTGTCTTCAGTTTGCACAATGGTCACAGTTTTGGACCATATCTTCAATTTAGGCCTTTAAATTGGGCTAGCACATTGTATCCCTTGTTCATCATTTGCAGCCTACCATTCCAATATATCCTTGGTGAATCCCACTCAGAATCTCTGGGCACATCTTCACTCCTTTGAACACCATTACATTTTCTACAGATACATCAGCTCTGTCATTCCAGAAGTCACTGTGTATGCCATCTGTGCATGAGCCGTCCTTCTTTATGGTGAGTCAACGCACCAACACTATCTGTTGTCTTCTACCAGCATATGTGAGGATGCAATAAGTGTTGCAGCACCATGATCCCTCAGATTTGCACAAAATCAGAAAGCTGCAAAAGTGCGCACTAAGCATTTACAATTGTCAGTATGCTTTTGCACACTTTCTGGACAGGGATATCTTTTATAACTAAGGTTATAAAAAAAGCTATCTGTCAGTATTTAATCGGCATATTGAATCAACGAATTAGAAGTGGGGACAAAAACAAACAGGAACACCTACTAGTATGAACAGGGAAGACCAAAGTTATTCCTCATATACCAATTCAAATACTCTGGCCTAATTTGAATGGGTGAAAAGTGGATTAACAGCTAAATGGTGCTCATATGTGAACACGTCATAAGGCTTTCTTTTCCTTTGTTCACCACCCCCAATACTCTCTCTCTCTCCTTGCTCTGACTCTAGTTGGGAAGGTTTTTGCTTGTTGAATTTCCTTCTTCTGACTAGCTGTTCCGATGGCACAGTAAAAAAGGATATAGTGCTAATTCCCAAGACTCCTGGTCTGAATCAGATAGGAAATTGTATCCAGTGTTACAATTTAGTTACCTTTATAAAGGTTTATTGATTTCTATCTTTGTTTTTCATTATTATGGTTTTATGCATGTTTGTTTTTTAATTGGTTTGTGCATTTGAATTGAGTTTCAGCTTCTATTTTATTTGTGCACTGCTTGGAGAGTGAACAAGCAGTTTATAAATCTTCTAGATAAATAAACAAACCCTTCATCATCTAACCCCAACACTGCAATGGCAGCAAAATGCACACTGACCAAGCTACTGTGGGTCAAAATTATCCATAACTCAATTAACACTGGATGTTCAGCTATTTCCTTTGGTCTCAGGACAACCTAGCAGATGTTGGCACTGAAGAGGAGGATTCCATTTTGTTACATACTTTTTTTTGCTTCAAGCAAGCATTCCTGATGAATAACCTTGTGAAACTTAAACAGAAAAGAATCCCGTGGCTAAGAAATATATCACAGCACAAACTTCTGTGGACCACAGCTCATTTAGTCAGATGTATAAAAAGACAAAAAGCACTGAGGACATTTTAAAACAAACTAGATTTTGTTGTTTCCATATCAAGTTATAGACCACCCCAACCCAAAGGCTTGAGTGGGAAGAGAAACAGAAACTGGTTATGATGCTCACTTAGCTGAGCCACTGCCCCTCCCTTAATCCAATAAAAGGAGCCATTCCATGCAACCCAGAACTATAAACCAGTGTGATATTCACCATTTACGCTAAACGAAATATGCATTCCACTCCATTTTTATGCATTCGATCTAAATGTACACAATATCTATGGTATATAATTATCTGCCTTAGAGAGTTCAATTTATTGTTTAAAAATAGAATAGATATTATAGAAAAGAGCAGTGTGGTAAAATGATTTAAATTATATTGGAGCAGTGGGAGGTGGGAGGGGGGAACTTGCTTAGAAACGCAACAGGAAAAAAAATAATCTCAATAATACTCCTGATCATATTTTCCACTGTTAAGTGAGCAAAAATTGTGTGGGTGAGAAATAAATATAAATTTCTCGATGGCACCATCATTGGCATTTCTAAGCATTCTTTTTCTAAATATATTCTTTATCTGAGCTGTCTTGAAGTACTTTTAATATAATTAAAGGCACAAAATGAGTGCCAGACTTGTCAATTTCGACAACAAAGTGCTGAAAGTCTTAGTGAAACCGAAAGATCCATCTCCCACACATTGTAATGAATAGGTTCATAAAAGGAAAATAGTTTAATTACATTTTAGTTCATGGATTGTTAATAGGCTGGAGTATCTAAATTGAATAATGTGATTCTGGTATAATAATTATGTGTAAATGAACTTGTTTAAATGATATTTTACAGCTTCTTTATAAAATTACAGCTAGAGGCAATGCAGTGATAGACACACAAAGGCCGTGCAAAAATTATCATAAACTATTAGCTTGTTTGCAAAGGGTTTTATGTTAATCTTTTAGTACTTAAAGCACTCTGCAATTAACATATCACGGGGAGCTGCCTTGAAGCAAAGCCATGCAAATTGAAGTACTCAGATAAAAAGCCATTCACATTTTCTTTAAAAAAATGAAAGAAAAGGGTAGTGTAGCACTCAAAGAAGACTGGTTTTATATTTGAGATTAAGGAGGTGTAATGATTGTGTTATCTAACGACGGTTGTAATTAAAGCTTTTCTCCTGAAGACATGACAATAGATAC